TTTTATTGTACTTTGGTCTCTAATCCTATTTAAAATAGGTAATTTCTGAACAATTGCAGCAAAATGAAATTATGTCCTTTAAGAGCTTCCCAGGTTGAAGAGTTCAGGTTGTAACCTTAAATACAAACTTTGAATATTCCAATATTTTTCTTTTGCTTAATTTGTAAGCATCTTTCCACAGCTATATTAGGAAAGTGGGGTTGACCATTTAGCCTCATGGGTGTGACCGTAGTAATTTCCTTGAAATAGTATTGAAGGATTTAGAGGATTAAAAATAAAATAAAAATTAAAAAAAAGAAAAAAGCTCTGTAGCTTTTTGATTGAGTTGCAGTTTTCTCCACTTGTCAGATTAAGAAAAAATACTGTGTGTAAAATACAGAGGAAAAGCTTTTAACAAAAGTGTAAACTTCTAACCAGATCTTGGAGATAATTTTGTAGTTTTCAGGGTACAGATGCATTGGCCAGAAAATAGCAATTTAAGTTGAATGTTTTAATAACTATTTATTTGGACACTTTAGTAACTAGAAAAAAGTAGCTTTGTTAGGAGTATGACAAATTACTTGTATATAAATATTTGTGTTTTTAAGGACTCCGAATACCTCGTTGCTTCATATTATGGTAGATACATATTTCATATCAACAATGTAAGAATACCTGCTAAGCTGAAACAAAGAGGCTGTGCTGTTTCTAAAAGTTAACAGTTTGAGTACATCTGGATGTAAAGGAAAATAATCCCAAATTACAGTGATTGTCAGCAAAGTGGCTGTTGTCCCTAATTGGTTGTACTTAAGCACAGATTATTGTGCTTTTTATTAAGCACTGTATATATAATGTGTTGTATTTGCTATTTCAGAATCTGCAGGTAATGGTAGAATTCATAGTAGCTTTAGTCACAGATGAGTGTGTAATTAGTCACCTAAAGAAAGAACACCACACTTAGATTTCAGGCCCTTCTAGCATTATGGTTCCTACTGGATTTCAAAGATTATGCTGTGGTAAACTTTAAAAATATCTACTTAAATAATTCCAGTGTAATTTAAACTCTAGTATTCTCTCAAAATACGGCTACATTGAATAACCACTTGCCTTAGGGGTTAGGGGTATATGAGTGAAGGTTGAGTTCTGTCGTTTGCCTGAGTACAGATTTTAAAATGTTTTTAAACATTGGAAAAAAATTTTGTGAAGTACTTTTCAGTGAGCTTGCTGTGTTCCTAATGCTCACTTTCTTGCAAACTAAACGCGTTTAGATTATACTGTTGGGTTATAATATCCTCTCCTCCCCTCCAGTTCTTTGCCGAGAAAGACAGTTTCCTCTATCAGCAGTGCCATCAGGTTACTGCTGGCTTCTGTGTGCAGGAGTGTGGAGAGATGGGGGCTTCTGGGAAGGGTTGTGTTTGTGCACACGCCCCATTCAATTGGAATGGTGATTTGCTGTTGGTAGATTAGAATTTCTATTTTGCTGTATTCTGTTATTAACGTCTTTATTGTTACAACCACTTAAATGATTACTGATTAGCAAATTGGTTTTAAGCGATGTAAACCTAAAGTATTATTCATTGTTTTAGAGTTTAAGGAAGTGTTTTGTCTACTTATGTTACAGTTTCTAAGTCAAGGGCTGAAGGCATTTGCTGTCAGATACCCCTAGGATGCCCAGTATTTTTGTTTTGGGGGGTGTTAAGGGGGGAGTGAGTATAAATCCAAATGTGCAGGGTTTTGTTTGCTTGTGCTGACCAACTTCATGGTGTGATTAAATATGATTTTTTAATTACACTCTTGAAGTTGTAGAATGGCAATTAGATGGCAGCCACTGGTGGCCTTGTAGAAGTTTTGAGGAACATGCAAGTTAATTTTAGTTTCTGATCAGTTATGGTTAGTGACTCCGGCCAAACATGTGCATACTGATTCTACACGTGTGCTAATTCCGTGGTGTTTATTCAAACCAGCTGTGTGTTGAGTGCCTAACCCTGTGACAGGCACCTTGTTCCAGGCATTGGGGACAGCAGTGGACAAGGCAGCAGAGTCTCTTGTGTCCTGAGATGTTACTTTTAGAAAAAGACAGTTACAGGCAAACAGAATGGTTTTAGATCTGGACACAAGTTTTCAGAGGAAGTCATCCTTGAGCAGTGACAATGCTTTGAGGGGTAGGGTGTGCTGGGCAGTGGCACCTTTGGGGTGCCTAAGGATTGATGTGACCTTGGGAGCCTAGGACAGTTGAGCACAATTGACTATGAGAGTCTGTCTCAGATGCTTCCCTGGAGAAAGAATTGCTGGGGTTTTGCCAGGAGGATTTCCTTCCACATCTGATTATAAAAGAAGGCCCCTTGGCCCAGAATGCCTGCCCTCATCTCCAAGTCTCCCATGCTGTTCACCCTCTCAGGCAGAGTGGAAGTTTCTTCTCTCCTAAGATCACTTCCCACTGAACCCAGCAGTGAAATAATCCTAGAACTGTTCATGTGGAGAGTGATGGTAACTTCTTTAACCCAGATAATTGAGAATTGGAATCAAAACATCTTCTATTGATACATCTTTTCAGTAACTAAGTTATGCTGTTTCCCTGCGTGGGAAATACCAGAGTTACACTCACATATTTCTTCTCTTTCTTCTTCTTCTTCTTTTTTTTTTTGAGACAAAATCTTGCTCTGTTGCCTAGGCTGGAGTGCAGTGGTGTGATCTTGGCTCACTGTAACCTCCACCTCCTGGGTTCAAGTGATTCCTGAATAGCTGGGATTACAGGTGTATGCCACCATGCCTGGCTGATTTTTGTATTTTTAGCAGGTACGGGATTTCGCCATGTTGGCCAGGCTGGTATCCAACCCCTGGCCTCAAGTGATCCACACATCCGGGCCTTCCAAAGCATTCAGATTACAGGCGTGAGCCCCGTGCCCCGCCTCACATTTTATTTCTAATCCTGAGACTGAGTGTAGAGCTGGTGTCCTTTTTTGGAAAGCATGTCAATAGAGAAGTGGAGTTCCCCAAAATTAGTTTCACATATTAGTCAAGTTTCTAAAATACAGTAATAATGTTTAGAACTGACATAGAAGACTAACTTGGATATTTTTCTTTTAATTCTTACCTGAGAAGGGACTAAGTTTGATTTTGCTAAATGAGAACATTAAAAAAGAAAATTCTATTGCCACTTCTTAAAAACCTTAGTGCATTTCAGCATCTAAACGTAGGAAGGACCTCAAATAAATGAGCCTTTGTTCTTGGCCAGGGAAAGCAGTGTTGTCAGAGTGTGATAACTTTTTCTGGGATATGTACTGTTACTCAGTTAAAACATTGCCTGGGATGCTGGCATTCAGTAAATACTTGTTGAATAAGCAAATTAAACTTAGATTTCTTTTTATAGAAACCTAAATTGTTAGACTGATGTCCAAATATCACTTAACATTCTGATTAGCAGAGTAATTGAATATTCTTTTCAGTGTGTAGATCTATCCCCAGAACCACAGAACATTGGAACTGTAAGGGCCATCCTGTAGTTTAACCAACTGCATTAAATGATAGAAAGATGTGGTATGTGGCAGTGACAACTTTAAGGTTGTAACTTAGCCAGACTAGAACTTGGATGTCTGGAGTGTTCTATCACACCAGGTTGGTTACCAGCCCATGTGTTGATCCTCCATTGTGATTACAACAAAGTAAAGACTTCAGTACATTCTTTCTTTTACCCTAATCCTTGATCTGCAGTCTTACTTAGAAAAGATCTAGTTAATGTTAAAGATCTAGTTTATTCAAAACTAAAGATAAGGAGTACGAGAATTTCTGTTTCAGAGTGTAAAGGAGGTGGAGATGTTTCCTTGGCTTCTCTGAGCCTGCAGGCCCTCCTTGCTCTTTAAGGAAGTAGAGGGAGGGAAGAAAGTATGGTTTTGTTTTTTATGGTTACTTTGCTGGGAGTAGTTTGTATGCCTTTCGGTTTTCTTTGGTGGAATTAACTGACTTAAGTTTGAAATAGTTGGGACTATTTAGAAACAGTGTTTGCCATAAAGGTAGAGGGTCTTGGCTTTAGAAGTTAATTCTTCTGCAGGAGTGAAAATTAGCTTCTAAACCAGAAGGAGCAGAGCTAATTTTCCACCTGGCCAGTGCATGATGTGAAAGGTAGATTAAAAAAACGAGAGGACCCCTTTGCTGATGAGAGACTAATCCATGTTGAAACAGCCCTGTTGAGGACTTTATGTTGAATCTATACGTTCACAAAGGAGTTTTGTGTATGTCTTTCCCTATTTGTTGTTTGGACTAGGAAGCCCCACCCAGTGCTTGTTGAAGGCAAAGTTGTTGAAAGCAAGCTGGGATTTGAACAGTAGATTGAGGTTTCGAATATCCAGTGAACCAAAATACATCAGGTTCCCCTGACTCAGATGAGTGGCCATTCTGAGGTGGTTTGTATTTTTCAAATGGGAGTTTTAGGAAGAGTTCCTGTATTTTTGGGCTTATTTTGTTGCTCTCCGTATACGCATCTCTGAGGGGGTGTGTTTGGGCACTATGATTTCTTGGATGCAGATTTGCTTGTGTATAAAACACATTTTAAATGGTTTTATATAAAACAAATTTTAAGTGGTTTTACACTGGATTTAAAATTTTTTAGCTTAAAGCATTTGAATTTTTTCATCTGAATTTTCACAATTCTTACAGTCTTTAGATTTAGGGAGGCTGTTGATGGCATCCACATGTGCATTTTTGGGGCATTTTAAAATGTATTTAGCTGAATTTAACAATTTCTGACCTAAAAGTTGACATTTCAGATTTAAGTCAGTGAAGCACTGTTTTAAACTGGATTTTAACTGGATGAAATTCTGACTTAATAAGTGTACTGACTGGATGAAATGCCAGTGATTTAATTAACAAGCGTGTTTAACAGGATGCCCTATATATTAGTTAAAAGTGAAGCAATTGAATTAGGTACCTTCTCTGCTGCATGGAAAAGACCACATGAGTCATCCACACCAACCTTCTCTTTGCTCTGCGTGTAGCTAACCGTTTCTGTTTTTTTTTTCCTCTAGGGTTTGGAAATCTCTTGTCTCCAGGTTGCTGGGATTGACTTCTTGCTCAATTGAAACACTCATTCAATGGAGACAAAGAGAACTAATGCTTTGTGCTGATTCATATTTGAATCAAAGCACTGGGGAATCTGTATGCCTTGTTTGTGGAAAGAACCAGTGATACCACCAGTGAGCTTCCTAAAAGTTCTGAAGAAGTTATAGGACTATACACTTTCTTTTGAACTTTTATAATACATATTTGCTCTACGTCTGAAGCCCAGGGCTGTTGAAGGGGGTGAGTGACAAGTGTTACAAGTGGCCTTATTCCAACTCCAGAGATTCCCCAACGGAACTTTGAGATTATCTTATATGCAATCGAAAGTGACAGGAAACATGCCAACTCAATCCCTCTTGATGTACATGGATGGGCCAGAAGTGATTGGCAGCTCTCTTGGCAGCCAGATGGAGATGGATGATGCCTTGTCAATGAAAGGGGCCGCTGTTGTTCCATTCAGAGCGACGCAAGAAAAAAATGTCATCCAAATAGAGGGGTACATGGCCTTGGATTGCATGTTCTGCAGCCAGACTTTCACGCATTCAGAAGACCTTAATAAACATGTCTTAATGCAGCACCGGCCCACGCTTTGTGAACCAGCCGTTCTTCGGGTCGAAGCAGAGTATCTTAGTCCTCTTGATAAAAGTCAGGTGCGGGCAGAACCTCCCAAGGAAAAGAATTGCAAGGAAAATGAAGAATTCAGCTGTGATGTGTGCGGGCAGACATTCAGAGTCGCTTTTGATGTTGAGATGCACATGAGGACACACAAGGATTCTTTCACTTACGGGTGCAGCATGTGTGGCAGAAGATTCAAGGAGCCTTGGTTTCTTAAAAACCACATGCGGACACACAACGGCAAATCGGGGGCCAGGAGCAAATTGCAGCAAGGCTTGGAGAGTCCAGCAACCATCAACGAGGTCGTCCAGGTCCATGCGGCCGAGAGCATCTCCTATCCTTACAAAATCTGCATGGTTTGTGGCTTCCTATTTCCAAATAAAGCAACTCTAATTGAGCACAACAAGGTGCACAGCAAAAAACCTGCTTCCGGTCCCAGCAGCACACAGACTGACTCTCCACCAGAGGGAATGTCATCTTCGAGGGAAGAGTTCCTGCAGTTTTTAAACTTAAGACCAAAATCTCGCCCCGTAACCGGGAAGAAGCTTGTCAACTGCGTACCTCAGCTCGATCCATTCACCACCTTCCAGGCTTGGCAGCTGGCTACCAAGGGCAAAGTGGCCGTTTGCCAAGAAGAAGTGAAGGAATCGGGGCAGGAAGGAAGCACCGACAATGACGACTCGAGTTCCGAAAAGGAGCTTGGAGAAATTTGGGGCGCGAATAAGAGCAACTCGGAAGGTTCTGGAAAGGCCAAAACAAGTAAGGGCGGTTGTACAGGCCTCTCGCAAGATAAAGAGAAGTGTAGACCCTCCAACGGGGAGGCGCCTTCTGTGGATGCGGATTCCAAGATAACCAGCAGCAAAGAGAAGCCCACCCACTGCTCTGAGTGTGGCAAAGCTTTCAGAACCTACCACCAGCTGGTCCTGCACTCCAGGGTCCACAAGAAGGACCGGAGGGCCGGTGCCGACTCGCCCACCATGTCCGTGGATGGGAGGCAGCCCGGGACGTGCTCTCCTGACCTCGCCACCCCGCTGGATGAAAATGGAGCCGTGGATCGAGGGGAAGGTGGTTCTGAAGATGGATCTGAGGATGGGCTTCCCGAAGGAATCCATCTGGGTAAGCTGTGCTGCCTCTGTCCCATGCTATTCCCCTTGTGTCTGTCTTTCCCTCTGTTCCCATCTCTAGACAATGCTGGCTGAGAGTGGGTCTGGACTGCCAGAGCCAAGTCCAGGTTCTTTGTGGTATCACTCTGTGTAAGTCATTTCACGTCTCAGGGCCTTAATTTTCTCATTTCTGTAATAACAGGGTTGAATTAAAAGGTCTCCTTGTTCTGAAAATCCTTTTTTTTTTTTTTTTT